TGTTTCTCGTATTTATAAATAGATTCCCTGAGGAAGACGCGAATATGCGTCCAAACGAGTAGGAGGAAAATAAACGTTTATTCTTGTTGTAATAAAATACCGAAAAGCTCCATACACAACATTAAACTCTCAGCTTAGTCGAGGAGAAATAATTATTACATACACGTATGTTTGGTTTTTGTACGGCTGCTAGTACCACTTTATATGAATTCGCTATTCTTCCACGCAAAAATCTGAAATGTGCTACTCTTCCACGCAAAATTCTGAAATGTGCTACTCTTCCACGCGAATAGTGAAATGTGCTAGTCTTCCACGCGAAAATCTGAAATGTGCTACTTTTCGACGCGAATAATGAAATGTGCTAGTCTTCGACGCGAAAAGTGAAATGTGCTAGTCTTCCACGGTAATTTGAGATGTGCTACTCTTCGTTGGGAGCGACGATATAATATAATTATTGCGCTTGCCACACAAAAGCAAAACGTTGAAATTTCTTGAAATCGGACTAAAATTACGCCCACTTTTCATATAACAGTAAATTCCAAAAATACTTGAAACTTCGATATTTCGCCATTTAAAGACGCTAATTTACTCAAACTTGATTCTAACAACAATCCCTTGAAAAGAAGTAACGTTATTATGGAGGTTTGGAAAATATGCGTGATGCCGCTCACATATATCTATATAAGTTTATCTCATTATTTCTAACTGAACGTTCTATCGAAGATGTTTGAAATGGTTGTAAAACCATCCCTCCTTACCATACAGGGTAAGTTTTCGGAAAGGTGTAAAAACTACATTTAATACTTGCTCCGCCCGAACTTAGACTTTGTTACTTGTTAAAAATATAAACATAAATACATACGCGGTCTTAGCCAAAACAATTTTGAGTTTGGCTGAATATTTAATGTCCTTGTTTAACTAGTCAAGTTTTAAATGTGAACTGGTATACATTTAAAAGCTGTATAATTCCTGGTTAGACTGTTATGAACTATAGAAACCATTGCTTGAGACAACCAAAATATCAATTCGAATTAATTGATTGCCCGGGGATTTTTTAGTTTGGCGGTAATTTCAGCTCCATAAAATATTCGTCAAATTATATATTTGTCTAGACCAGGGATGGGCAGATTTTTGGCTCTTGAAGCAGTCAAAGAGCCAGCAAGTGCTACGCAAGATGTAAATCAGTTCCCAGGGTAAAAGGGGTGTAAAAAATGCGTTAAGAGCATCCTGCGTCGGAGTACAAGAAATTTTAATACGTCCCTCTTCCCCCTTTCATGCTGTCTCTTGATATTACCCCTCATCTAACTAGGGTTGCCAACATTTTCTAAGAGATTTATAGTACTTTTTCAAAAAAACCTAAAAAAATATGGTCCACTTGAAATAAATATAGCATTATATTTAAAAGAAAGAATTAAAACGCTTTTTAAGTGTACATCTTTTTTCTTTCTTATTTTCTCTTTGAATTTCTTTGAAAGTATCATATGCTTTAACGCAGTCAATATTTAAATTAATATAAATCAAAAGCAGTGTTGCCATTTTAGCCGTTTTCCGGCTAGATTTAGCCGGTTGCGATAACAAACAGCCGGAGAAATTTCGATCTAGCCGGCAGCCGTTTTGCAGAAAAAAATTAGCCGTTTTTAGCCGATTTTGCTATTTGCCTTGTTTTATTAAATTTCAAATATGTATATATGTTTCCATTATTGACTAAGCGACCCAAAATCTGTTAGAAATGGCTACCAGCCTTATCGTGGAGAAAATTTTCATGTCAGGCAGGGTTGTATGAAATTGGGCCGATTTCGCTTATTTTTATTTTAAACGAAGAAGGGATTTTCTTCATATAAATGTCTTAATTTTAAGTGTGAAGTTTTATTCGCAAACTTAGAAAATAAGAAATTGTTTCACTGTTAAGACACTTAAGATGCCTTTGTGTTTGGATAAAGTGCCAAAAAACAGAATAAGTATTACATGTAGATATTGTCTTCCCAGATAGCGCATATTTAATTCTGCCTAAATTATAAAACATCATTTTTGCCACTCCCAAAGGTTTATGGTAAGGGAAAAATTGATATTTTCAAGCACTATGTACACATATATATTTTTTTAAACAAACTTTTTTGCTGAGGACTTATCTAAATTCCAAAAACCGAATGCCAACTTGAATTAAAGGAACCAACACTGAAGTGAGTCAAAATGAAAATAAAAGAGCACACATTTCTATGTAAAGCAAAACTCTCTGGGAATCCTACGAGATATCTGCCGGTCATATGACCGGTCATCTAAATGGGTGATCTGCAGTCTTTTGGCATCATATTTTACATCAGAATTGAAGGGATT